GAAGTCCGGGTGAAGCCGTGGAGTCCACCCCCTGGGGGTCTGGATGCTGTTTCGGTGATTTTTGCTGTAACTCCGATCAAGATGACCCAGCAGACGATGTCTGTGGACGGTGCGGTGTTGACTGAATGGGTGCGTAAAATTCTCGATACTCATGTTCTAACGGCGCGTCAATCCGTGTTTTTGGACCCGGGTCAAGGTGTTCTGTTGGTCGGCCAGGTTATATCCGTTACGACCTCGTCTGGAACTGGAACGAGTGGTAGTGGAACAAGTGGTCAGGGTATAGTTACCGGAGAAACGATATTTGAATTCCAGAGCCAAAGTCCCTCGGTGGTTATAAGAGAAATGAATCGATCATTGTTTAAACAGGAGTTTAATTTTGAAGCTCTTGGTATCGGAGGTTTAGACGTACAATTTGCGGATATTTTCCGTCGGGCATTTGCAAGTAGAGTGTACAGTCCGGCTTTGGTTCAAGAGCTGGGCATAACACACGTGCGCGGATTATTGTTATACGGTCCCCCGGGTACAGGTAAAACATTAATTGCTCGTCAGATTGGAAAAGCCTTGAAGGCGAAAGAGCCGAAGATTGTAAACGGTCCGGAGGTGTTAAATAAGTTTGTTGGTCAGTCTGAAGAGAACATTCGAAACTTATTTGCTGAGGCTGAGATTGATGAAAAAAAATTTGGTATAAACTCGCCTTTGCATATCATCATTTTTGATGAATTGGATGCGATATGTAAGCAGCGTGGTAGTACAGGAGCTAGTGGTAGTGGTGTGAATGATTCTGTAGTGAATCAATTACTTTCGAAGATTGATGGTGTTAACTCTTTGAATAATATCTTGCTAATTGGAATGACCAATCGTATGGATATGTTGGATGAGGCATTATTAAGACCGGGTAGACTGGAAGTACAAATAGAAATCGGTCTGCCAGATGAGTTTGGTCGAAATCAGATTTTGAAAATCCATACAAATGATATGAGGAAGAGCAAGAGAATGGCGGACGATGTTGACCTTAAAGATCTGGCGAAGCGAACGCGGAATTTTAGTGGTGCCGAACTAGCTGGTCTTATCCGATCGGCAGTGTCTTACGCTTTCGCTCGTAACGTGGACCCTTCCAATCTTGGTGGGGGCGGTAAGACTGGTGGTGGTGAAGCTGATGTTTTGATCACCAAGGCAGATTTCGAGATGGCATTGAAGGAGGTGAGACCAGCATTCGGTGCTTCTGAAGATCTGGACCGATATTCATTGAATGGAATTATACCGTACTCAGCAGAGTTCTTAAAACTGAGACAAGATTTGATGGTCCTAACTGAGCAGGTAAAAAAAAGCCCTTCATCACCTCTTGTTACTGTGTTACTATGGGGTACTCAAGGCTCTGGTAAAACGAGTCTTGCTACACATATAGCTAAGCAGAGCAACTTTCCATTTGTTAAAATTATTTCGCCAAATCAATTTGTTGGTTATAATGAAGGATCGAAATTGATGGGAATTGCCAAAGCGTTTGATGACGCATATAAGTCTAACCTGTCCCTACTTATTATCGATGATATTGAGAGACTTTTAGATTTCACGCCGATCGGTCCTAGATTCAGTAATAACTTACTACAGGCCTTGCTAGTGCTTGTCAAAAAAATTCCTCCATACCAGGCCACGACTGCTGGAACCACCTCCGGTAGTGGAGCCACCTCCGGTAGTGGTGAAGGGGGTATCACCGCTGGTGGAAGACGGCTGTTGATAATTGGAATTACATCTGAACCACAGTTCCTTCAGGACTCAAAGTTGGCGTCAGCATTTCAACTAGCATACAAGCAGCCGCTTATCCGAGAGAAAGCCGCGGTTCTAGAGTGTCTGAACTACCGAAGGAAGTTGGTGGCAGATATAGACCAGCTTGAAGCCAACAGAATCGCAGACTTAGTGGGAACCGCCAAAATCGGCGTCAAGAAACTTTTCATGGCTTTAGAGATGGCCAGCGAAATGTCCAAGCCACAAACAATCAAAGCAGACACAGCTGTCCAATGTCTCCGTGATTTCGGGGTCAATATCTGACCTACTTAGTTGGTCGGGATATTTTTCGTTCGAAAATGATAAAAACTCCCATTACTTTGAAGGGAGAGACTTTCCAAGATGATGTTCTGATACATCAATCTGGGAGTCAATGGGATCCTCAAATCAAGGAAACGGTGGAGTCCAAGACGCAGAACCTTCCAACAAACGGTCAAGCGATAGAAGGTCTAGCCTCAGACACGTTGTCTTCCACAAAATCAATACAAGCTGCCATAAGAACGATAAGCACTGACATCAACGTTTTTGTAACCACCCAATGCATCCAAGAGGAGAATAACAAGAAGCCTCGTCTAGTCCATAAACCAAAATAACTCAGCGGTGGCCTCAGAGTTTAAGTCAGCGGTGATTTCGGAGTTAGGATCAAAAAACAACCAAACGTAAGATAAAGAAAGAACCAAATCATCTAGCAGTGGTATGCAGACACCAATCCGGCACCAATCCGGTGGGGAGTAAGAAAGTGCAAAATCGCGCGCACCACGTCAAGAAAGCGTGTTGTATCTTACAAAAGAATTTTTTCTTTTCTGGAGGTGGCGGGTTTCTAGCAGTAACTACAAAACACTAGCAGTAAACACGAACTACGACATGTT